GAGACTGGGGAGCATGGGTCGTAACAAAATTCTGAAAAAAAAGAAGGAGTCCTCAGAACGTGCCCACTGGCGCAGAACCATAGGTGTCTCTGCCTCCCTTTGACCAAAACAGGCTCAGCGGAGACTGCCTTCCCTGCGAGAGTATCCCTCGGCGACCCTGGCTGTCAGCGTTGTGCCTAAGCTTTGGTTAGGAGAGCAAGCAAAAGTGCAGCCGTGTGATCCTCATTCCACCCTCAACTATTTCATAACCACCGTCACTGTCGGTAGACCAGTAGCAAATGGTTTTCGCCATATTTTCGAGTATAAATTAAAGTGATTACTAATAATTTCAGAGTCCTCTTGGGTTGTACAAGGTGCAACTGGCCATATTCCATTGTGCGAATCTCTACAGCGAAGAGCCAATAATGGCTGTCTGGGAGAATATTTTACAATCAGGTAATCTTTATTTCATATTGTTGAGGTCCCAAGTTGTCAGTAGCTGTTTGTATTATGTTGGCGAAGTGTTTCTGGGCGCAAATGGATGCAGATGAGTCGTTTACCTTTTCCAGGGCTTCTTCTCCTAGGCTTGGGCGAGAGTGTTCATCCCCTGACTCGAAATCCGCTTCTTGGGATGCGTTCATACATTGCGCCAGCGTTTGAACGTTCGTCAGCGTTTCGAGCTTCCGGAGACGACTCGCCACACTCAGAACGCTGGCTGACACCGAGAACACGCTGAATCCATACCTACACTTTCCTAGTCGCTCAAAGCGCTGACGCAAAGTATGTATGCACTCTTGGAGCCGCGCGCTTCTCCACATGAGAAAGTGTTCATCGTAGTGGGAGCGTTCTGCACAGAATGTCTTGTAATAGCATTTTATCAACAAACCATAGTCCATTATCTATTGAATTGTATTTTTGTAGAGTTTAAATACGAGGGCGAGGTACCCGAACGGTTATTGTGTACGCTACATGATTTGCATTCTATTTATGGGTCAGACGAAATATTTCCCTCGAAGTGAGTTAGCATAAATTTACAGAGATACTTCTAAAGTACTGTTTTTCAATAGTTGCCTGTGTTTAGATTACATTTTGCGACGATTGCTTGAACTTGGCTCGGGCAT